TGCGTGTGCATGTGAAGGGGTCGTTGCACGTGGAGGCACGGCTGGGTGAGACAGGGATCAGTGTGTGCGTGGGCACATGAAGGGGTTGTGGCACATGGAGGCATGGCTGGATGAGACAGGGATCAGTGTGAGCGTGGGCGTGTGCATGTGAAGGCACGGCTGGGTGAGACGGGGATCAGTGTGTGCGTGGGTGTGTGCACATGAAGGGGTCGTTGCACGTGGAGTCACCGCTGGGTGTGACAGGGATCAGTGTGGGCATGAGCACGTGAAGGGACCATTGCATATGGCAGCATGGCTGGGTGAGGCAGGGATCAGTGTGTGCGCGGGCGTGTGCACGTGAAGGGCTGTGGCACATGGAGGCACGGCTGGGTGAGACAGGGATCAGTGTGTGCGTGTGCATGTGAAGGGGTTGTTGCACGTGGAGGCACGGCTGGGTGAGACAGGGATCAGTGTGTGCGTGGGCACATGAAGGGGTTGTGGCACATGGAGGCATGGCTGGATGAGACAGGGATCAGTGTGAGCGTGGGCGTGTGCATGTGAAGGCACGGCTGGGTGAGACGGGGATCAGTGTGTGCGTGGGTGTGTGCACATGAAGGGGTCGTTGCACGTGGAGTCACCGCTGGGTGTGACAGGGATCAGTGTGGGCATGAGCACGTGAAGGGACCATTGCATATGGCAGCATGGCTGGGTGAGGCAGGAATCAGTGTGTGCGTGGGCGTGTGCACGTGGAGGCATGGCTGGGTGAGACAGGGATCAGTGTGTGCGTGGGCGTGTGCACATGAAGGGTTGTGGCACGTGGAGTCACCACTGGGTGAGACAGGGATCAGTGTGGGCATGGGCACATGGAGGCATGGCTGGGTGAGACAGGGATCAGTATGCACGTGAATGGCAATCCTCATGGGGGCTTTGCTCTGCATGTGCGTGTAGGGCTGGGTGAATGTGAGGGGCCAGAGGTGGGCACACTCAGGGTCCATGGGGGGGGTCCTCATGCTATTCAGTCCCTTGCCGGACTCAGGGTGCAGCTCTCACTGCCCCTCTAGCCCCATGCCAGCCCCGCTGCTCTGACGCCCAGGCCAGATGGGTTTCCTGCCCACACCATCACTGTCTTTCCCCTCCCAGGCCATGGGGCGCTGCGCCCTCCACTGATACCCATCCCCCAGCCCACATGGTAGCTACAGGGTCCTAGTAGTCCCATGAAGGGTGAGGGGAGGACCCATGGGGCAGTGGCTGTGGGTTGTCTGGTGGCTCCATGCACTGGGTTGGGAGGGGAGGATCCATGGGGGAAAGCCTGTGGGGTGTGGTGCCAGGGGTCTGCCAGGGACTCAGACTGTCCTATTCCTGGCGGCCCCAGGGCTCCGATCCTGCCCCACGCGACCACGTGAGGCAAACAGCTTCCTGTGCAGGCTCCAGACCCAGCTCTAGGGGGAGAGAGAGAGCGGGGTGAGTGCCGGGGGAGGGGCGGACAGACACACAGGGAGGGGCGGACGGACAGCGACAGTGGGGGGCGGACGGACACAATGGGGACACGGGGGGGGGCAGACGTACACAGAGTGGGGGAGGGGGACTAGACAGACGGACAGAGGCAGTGTGGGAGGGGTGGGCGCCCCGCCCGTGTCCTGAAGCAGGGCAGACGGACACACAGACTGATGGGCACCTGGGGGGTGTCCCAGCCGCTGTACCTCGGTGCCAGGGTCAGAGCGGGGTCGCCAGGTTGGGGGGGGCGTGGCCGTCTCTCTGGCAAACAAATAAGACATCATTTGTGAGGGTGTTAGGGTCACTGCGGGGAGGGGGAGGGAATGGGGCTGAGAACATGAAGCGGGGGGCAGGGTTGGAGCTGGGGGGTCTCAGGGGGAGGAGACCTTGGAGTGGAGCTGGGAGAGGGAGCTGGGGAGGAAAGGGGGTATCCGTGGGTCAGTGTGGAGGGTGGAGCTAGGGGCAAGGGCATGGGCGGCAGGGCTGGGGTGGGAAGGCTGGGGAGAGCCCTGGTCCCATGTGGGGGACACAGATGGTGGCAGAAAAGAGCAGCCTGGTCCCGAAATGGCAAGTCCTGGGGCAGCCCCTCCTAGGAGCCAGCAGGTCTGGGGCCCCGCAGGGCAGGGCAGGGCAGGGCAGGGCTGAGGGGGTGGCAGGGGAGAACGGTAACCGGCCTGGGGCCCCGCAGTGCCCTGCCTACAGTGCTGTCCATCCCTGGCCACTTACCAGGCAAGACAGTAATGCCCACCCCGTTATGTCGTCCATTCCCCCCCGCACTCCTGTGAATTCAAACACTCCTAGGAAAGATGCCAGCCCCTCCCAGACAGCACAGACAGCCAGACACAGAGAGAGACAGCCCACCAGGCAGACGCACAGCCAGACACACAGCCAGACAGCCTGACACAGATAGAGAGAGAGCCGGCCCACCAGCCACCCATGCAGACAGACACACAGAAAGCCAGAGACAGCCAGCTACGCAGACAGACAGACAGCCTGACAGAGACAGACAGCCCACCATGCACAGCCAGCCCTGCACAGACAGACAGACACACACACAGCCAGCAACATCCATGACTGATGGACGGACAGACGGCCGTCCGGACCCCGCTCTGTAGGACAGCCCCGACCCCGGGCAGCTCTGAGTGGGAAAAGTGAGGTGACAGCTGAGTCCCGTGGAGCCCTGAGAGCTGAGATGGGGATAGAGACAAAAACATACGCCTGCCCCACAGCCCCTGCTCTTCCCCCCTGTACTCACCGGCCGGCGCTGCACTGGGGCAGAGCCCCCTGGCGACTCTGCCCCCCTGGGGGACGGCTCCCCCAGAGCCAGAGTAGCTCCTGAGCCAGCGGCTGTCTCGGACGCTGCAAGAGAACCGGGGTGGGGGGTGAGGCCCCGGGACCCATGCCTGTGCCCGCCCACACGCATTGCCGGGCATCACCACAGTGACTGGGCTACAGACCACGGAGCCATGTGTCAACAACAGGGACCAGTGTTGCCCCAGCAGCCTCAGTGCAGGGGAGAGGCAGAGACCCCCCACGCGTCTCCCACAAAGCCAGCCCACCACGCACTGGCCCCACAGAGCCCCAAGCCCAGCTGCCTCTTTGAAGCAGCCACGCCTCCCTGAATGCCAGGTGCCAGCCATGTGTACCCTCCCCATGGAGCCAGCTGTGCCCCCACCGTTCCACCGAGCTCCCCAGAGACACCACCCCTGCAACGCCCCCGTCTTGTGGGCTCACCACGGGGGATGTGCTTGATGTCCAGCTCCCACTCCTCCTCCTCCAGGTGCCCTGGCAGCGAGCAGGCCCTGGGGGAGCGCCCTGCCGCAGGGGGCACAGGGCTGGCATCGCAGAACAGGCCCAGGGGGGCAGGGCCGGGGCGGGGGGATGACGTGGCAGCCGGTGGGGAGCATGGGGCCCCAGCCCAGGGGCTGAAGGAAGAGAGAGCCACCGAGGCACGGGTGCGGGCGGCTGCAGAGAGAGGGGATGAGAGAGCACCAGGGAGACCCCCCAGGCCCACAAAGGAGACACCTCTCTACCCCCAGAGAGACAGACTGGTCCCAACCCTGCCCCCAGAGAGACAGCCTAAGGACACCTCCCCTCCCCAGGAGACCCCCATCGCCCCTGCTGCTCCCAGAGCCCCCCTCCCCCCCGAGAGACTCCCTGCCATGCCCCCAAGCCCCCCCCCCGACGTGACTCTGCTATGCTGACAGCCCCGCACCCCACGGCACCCCTGCGACTCAGCCCCCCTCACCTCTGCCTGTGAGCAGGCTGCTCAGCAGGGCCTGGCTAGGGCCCTGGATGCTGACAAAGGGCTTGTCCCTGATGCCCATGGAGACCATCTCCTGCGTGCGCAGTTCTGGGCAGGACACAGAGAGAGATGTCACAACGGGGCCACGTGCCCCAATCTCATCCTGCTGGGGCCACTCTCCGTCCCATCCCCCTCCTTCTCCACCCCATCACAACAGGGCCCACCCCCTAATCCCATCCTGCCAGGGCCACTCCCTCCATCCCATCCCCCTCCTCCCATTCCACCAGCAGCCACACCCTCCATCCCATCCCCTTCCTCCTTCCCCACCCCATCTCAATGGGGCCCACCCCCCAAATCCCATCCTGCCGGGGCCACTTCTTCCATCCCATCCTCCTCCTTCCTCCCCACCCTGTGACACTGCACCCCATAATGCTTTATGGAAATATGCTTATGAATGTAAATACGACATAACTGGAATATGTTTTATGCTACATATGCCATGTAACATATCTTTGCAAAGGTTATATTCTACTGAATGTATTCATCCTATTGGTATTCACGTATCATTTTTATATCTGAAGTTACGAGTGTTGGCTCTATGCTTGTGTTTGCTGTAGAAAGCACCTAAGGCAGATTTGGTCAACATAGCGTGAAGGGGTTATTTAAGTAATTGGGACTACTTGGCCAACAATCGACCTTGGTAGACGCCAATCCACATCTGAGCTTTCCTGGGAACATTCGGGCTAACATGGCGTCGGCCTATAAAGAATGAAGTCATGCATGGACATGTGACTTGCCCATGTAACTCCAAAACTCCATCTTGTAACTGTAATTCTACACAGGGGGAGAGAGGGTTTCCACCCACAAGAGAGAGGCTACATAAGCCCCTGGGAAACCCCTCCATTTTGTCTTCAGCTGGCTCAAGAGATAGCCTCTCCACCCCAAAGGATGCCTGAAAGAAACTCGAACAAAGGCCAGTATCTACGGGGGTGTGAGTGATTTCTGGATCCAGACTAAGAGGAGGCTAGTCTGTCAAAGAAACTTATTGGAACATCTCTGAGGGTGAGATTTACCTGCATTCAGTTTCCTATTATATTAGGCTTAGACATGCGTGTTTTATTTTATTTTGTTTGGTAATTCACTTTGTTCTGTTATTACTTGAAACCACTTAAATACTTTTTGTATTTAATGAAATCACTTTTTACTTATTAATTAACCCAGAGTAAGAATTAATTCCTGGGGAGGGCAAACAACTGTGCATATCTCTCTATCAGTGTTATAGAGGGTGAACAATTTATGAGTTGTAAAACGGATTTATTTGGGGTTTGGACCCCATTGGGAGCTGGTTATCTGAGTGCTGGGAAACAGGAACACTTCTTAAACTGTTTTCAGTTAAGCCTGCAGCTTGTGGGGTCAGACTTGGATCTATGTTTGCAGCAGGCAAGTGTGTCTGGCTCAAACAAGGCAGGGCACTGAAGTCCCAAGCTGGCAGGGAAAACGGGCTTAGAGGTAGTCTAGGCACATCAGGTGGCAGTTCCAAAGGGGTCATCTCACCAGGGCCCATGCCCCCCATCCTCTCCCCCACCTTGTCACAAGGCCCACGTGTGTCCCCATGAGTTACACCATGAGCCATGTCCCCCCACCAATCCCATCCCCTCATCTTGCCACACTGGTGTCCATGTCCTCTTGCTTCCCCCAACCCATCACAATGAGGGCTACCCTTTCGCCCCATCCTGACACGCCAGGGCCCATGTACTCACCCCACAACCTCATCCCTCATGCCCCAGATCTCATCCTATCTGTTCCCCCCATTCCTGCGCACCATACCACCCCCGCCTACCCTTGCTGAGCGTGGCCTGCCTCCACAGCAGCTGGGCCACGGCACTGGTCCATTTGTGCTTCACCTCGGGTGAGGAGGCCTGCAGTGTGTAGGCCTCACGCAGCTTGCGACGCCGGAACCAGAGCTCGAATCGCAGCCCGCTCTCCCCGATGTTCTCCGTCAGCCCCATATCTGCTGTCTGGGGGGCAGACAGCATGCCCAGGAGGTGAGACACACCTTGAAGGCCTGTTTGCAGTGCAGAGGGGGACCCATGGAGGAGGTAGTGCTAGGGGAGGAATCCTATGGGGCAGGGGAGGTGGTCCCCTGGGGCAGGGTGGGATGAGCCAGCACACCTTGAAGGCCTGTTTGCAGCAGGGGTGGATCCCCTGGAGTGGAGCAGGGTGGGATAGGGCAGGGATCCCATGGGGCAGGGCAGAACGGGGGGAACAAGGCAGGGGGAGGAGATCCCATGGGGCAGGACAGAGCGGGGGGCACAAGGCAGGGGCAGGAGATCCCATGGGGCAGGGCAAGGCAGGGGCAGGAGATCCCACGGGGGAAGGCGGCGCACCTTGTAGGCCTGCTTGTAGACGTAGACGTCCAAGCCGCCCTCGGTGCCCTTGCGCTTGCTGAAGAGCAGCAGCTGCTCGAAGAGGAAGACATGTCGATGGCACTTGCGGCGCCCACGCAGCACGGTGAACTCGTCCCGGTGCAGCAGCTGCCCCTGCTCCTTCAGCTCCAGCTGCAGGGAGAGGAGACACCACAGGCAATGGGCAACCTCCCCCGGGCCAGGCTCGCCACCTCCCAGGGACAGAGCAGTGAATACTGGGAGAGCCCCTGGCCGCTCCCTCGGGTAGGGATGGAGCAGTGCATGCTGGGAGAGCCCCTGGTCCTCCCTTGGGGAAGGGACAGAGCAGTGCATGCTGAGAGAGCCCCTGGGGTCCCATCCCACCCGGGACACAGCAGTGCATGTTGGGATGGCCCCTGGGCAGAGCAGTGCATGCTGGCATGGCCCTTGCCTACACTCACCTCACAGCCCCGGATCTGCTCCATGGCCAGGAGGTTCCTGCCGTGCTGCACCTGGGACTCCAGCAGCTGCTGCGCTGCCCGCAAGGCCTCACGCTCTGGCGCCTGCTCCAGGTCCGTCTCCTGCAGCAGCTCCTCCAGAAAGCGCCCATAGTGCTCCAGCTGCTCCAGGGGCCTCTGCAGGGCACTTGCCAGCGCCGTATCCTCCCAGGGACCTTCTAGGCTGCTGTGTGCTGTCTGGGGGGAGGAGAAGAGCTGAGCATGGAGCCCACAAGCCGGGCTACTGCACCATCACTGGGTCTTCCAGATCCCAACAGCTGCCCAGACCAAGGAACGGAACCCACAAATCCTAGCTCCCAGACCCCAGCTCTAACCACTAGACCCCACTCCCTTCCCAGAGCTGAGGATAAGGACATAAGAAGGGTCACACTGGATCAAACCAATGGTCCCTCTAGATCAGTATCCTGTCTTCTGACAGGCGCCAGTAACACGTGCTTCTGAAGGAATGAACAGAACAGGGCAGTTATTGAGTGATCCATTGCCTGTAACCCAGTCCCAGCTACTGGCAGTCAGAGGTTTAGGGACACTGAGAGCATGGGGTTGCATCCCTGACCACCGTGGCTAATAGTCATTGATAGACAAGTTCATGGAGGATAGGCCCTATTCTTTTTTTAACCCAGCTATATTTAGGCCTTCACAACTTCCCCTGGCAACAAGTTCCACAGGTTGACTATGCGCAGTGGGAATAATTACTCTCTTGTTTGTTTGTCTGAAACCTGCTGCCTATTAATTTCATCAGGTGACCCCTAGTTCTTGTGTTATGTGAAGGAGTAAATAACACTTTCTCCACACCATTCGTGATTTTATAGACCTCAATCATATCCCCTCTTAGTCATCTCTCTTCTAAACTGAACATTACCAGTCTTTCTAATCTCTTCTCATATGGAAGTTGTTCATTACCTCCAGTCATTTTTGTTGCCCTTCTCTGTACCTTTTCCAATTCCAATATATCTTTTTTGACATGGGGCAACCAGAACTGCATGCAGTATTCAAGATGTGGGCGTACCATGGATTTATATAGTAGCATTATGATATCATATTTTCTATCCCTTTCCTAATGGTTCCTAACATTCTGTTAGCTTTTTTGACTGCGGCTACACACTGAGTGGATGATTTCAGAGAACTATCCACAATGACTCCCAAGATCTCTTTCTTGAGTGGTAACACCTAATTTAGACCCCATCATTTTGTATGTATAGTTGGGATTATGTTTTCCAATGTGCATTACTTTACATTTATCAACATTGAATTTCATCTGCCATTTTGTTGCGCAGTGACCCAGTTTTGTGAGAGCCCTTTGTAACTCTTCACAGTCAGTGTTAGACTTAGCTATCTTGAGTAGTTCTGTATCGTCTGCAAATTTTGGCACCTCATTATTTACCCTTTTTTCCAGATCATTTATGAATATGTTGAACAGCCCTGATCCCAGTATAGATCCTCGGGGAACCCCGCTATTTACCTCTCTCCACAGTGAAAACTGAACATTTATTCCTATCCTTTGTTTCCTGTCTTTTAACCAGTTATTGATCCATAAGAGGATCTTCCCTTTTGGGTGAATACCAGCTGGTCCTGGTGACTTATTGTTGTTTAATTTATCAATTTGTTCCAAAACTGAACTGCTACAGGCTGGAGACCGACTGGCTAAGCAGCAGTTCCACAGAAAGGGACCTAGGGATTACAGTGGACAAAAAGCTGGATATGAGTCAACAGTGTGCCCTTGTTGCCAAGAAGGCTAACGGCATATTGGGCTGCATTAGTAGGAGTGTTGCCGGTAGATCAAGGGAAGTGATTATTCCCCTGTATTCGGCACTGGTGAAGCTACATCTGGAGAATTGCATCCAGTTTTGGGCCCCCCACTACAGGAAAGATGTGAACAAACTGGAGAGAATCCAGCGGAGGGCAATGAAAATGATTAGGGGGCTGGAGCACATGACTTATGAGGAGAGGCTGAGGGAAGTGGGCTTACTTAGTCTGCAGAAGAGAAGAGTTGGGTGGGATTTGATAGCAGCCTTCAACTACCTGAAGGGGGGTTCCAAAGAGGATGGAGCTCGGCTGTTCTCAGTGGTGGCAGATGACAGAACAAGGAGCAATGGGCTCAAGTTGCAGTGGGGGAGGTCCAGGTTGGATATTAGGAAAAACTGTTTCACTAGGAGGGTGGTGAAGCACTGGAATGGATTCCCTAGGGAGGTGGTGGAATCTCCATCCTTAGAGGTTTTAAAGACCTGTCTTGACAAAGCCCTGGCTGGGATGATTTATTTGGGGTTGGTCCTCTTTGAGCAGGCGATTGGACTAGATGACCTCGTGAGGTCTCGTCCAACCCTAATCTTCTATGATTCTATGAAAACCTCCTTTACTCACACCTCAACCTGGAACAGTTCCTCAGATTGGTCACCTACAAAGAATGGCTCAGGTGTGGGAATCTTCCTCACATGCTTTGCAGTGAAGACCAATGCAAAGGATTTGTTTAGCTTTTCTGATACCTCATCTGCCTTGAGTGCTTCTTTAGCACCTCAATCGTCCATTGACTGTTTGGCAGGCTTCCTGCTTCTGATGTACTTAAAAAAAAAGATTTGCTGTTCGTTTGTGTCTCTTTTGCTAGTTGCTCTTCAAATTCCTTTTTGGCCTGTCCAATTACACTTTTACATTTGACGTGATAGAACCCAAGAATCCTGAACTCCCAGCCCTGCCTTGCCTAACCACTAAACCCCACTCCCCTCCCAGAGCTCTGAGCTTCTCCATGGGTACACGCAAGCAGCACAGACAGTACCTTGTTGGCAGCTTGCTGAGAGGCCAGTGCTGCATCGAGCTTCTGCCGGTTCTTCACGTAGAGGGCATAGAGACTGAACTGGTCCGCCTGGCGCAGAGAGTGATGGGGGAATTAGAGCCAACTTCAGCGTCACCACCTCCCCACAGCACAGAGGACACAGGGGAGACGCAGAAGGGCGGGGACACAGGGGAGACGCAGAAGGGCAGGGCCAATGCAATTAGAGCAGCATCCCAGAGCAGATGGGCTATGGGCTCCTGCAGGGGTCTGCTGGCATCTCCTGGGGAGATGACAGGGGTGCCAGTGAGCAGCACTCATGCCTTGGTGTGGGGAGGTGCCTGGGAGAGAGGAGTTCTGGGGGGTCACGGGGCTGGACACTCACATATCGCAGGAAGCAGCCCCCTGCACGGAGGGGGTGGCTGGCGCAGCCCTGCAGCTCCTTCAGGAAGTAGGTGCGGTGGAAGCCCAGCAGCCGGTCGCGGGTGCCCTCCAAGGCACTGCACTCGCGTTTCAGCTCGGGGGGTAGCTCCTGGCACCCCGACTCCAGGGGCAGCAACTCAGCCAGGCAGCCCAGATACTTCTGCTCGGAGGCGATCAGCTCTGCCACCAGCCGCTGCTGGGCGCTGGGCAGGTGAGGGGATGGGCATCAGCGAGGGGGCCCTGTGCCCTACCCTGTGGGTGCTGACGAGCCTCCCGCCCTGGGGCTCCCCTACGTGCCGCCCATGGGTCACCCAGCTCAGTGCTTCCCCTCAATCCCATGGGCATCGACAGCCCTCCCATGGTACTGATGGGCCTTGCACCCCAGCCCCCCACACACCCTCACAGGTGCCAACGGGCCCTCCACCCCAGGGGCACCAACAGGTGGTGCCAGGGCGCACTTCTCTCAGACGGGGCAATGGGTCCCAATGTATGGGGTATTCGGGTCCCAGTGCGTATGTGGGGTGGCAGTCGTGGGAGGGGGCAGTGCCCAGAACCCCAGGGTCCTGGTCTGGTGCAAATACCCCTCCTCCAGAGCAACTCACCCCAGGCGGCGTTTCCGCTCAGTGCTGGGCGTGCCCCCCCACGGCGCCTCGGCTCTCTGGGCGCTGCTGCGAACCAGCATCACGTGCTCCCGGGGCGAGCAGGTCCTGTCCACTACCTCCTGGCTGCTCACTTCCAGCCCGCGAATGAGGACGCTGGGACGGGGAGGGCCGGGCTCGCTCAGTGCCCTCTGCGTGCTGGGGGGACCCTTTGCAGGATGCTGGCAGGGGGGCAGTGTGTCCAGAGGCAGCGTGGGTGCCTGGAAGAAGGCAGAGGTGGGGGTGCTGGTGGGAGGGGGGCTCCGTTCTTCATCGCTATTCTCCATGGGGCCCCTGGGGGACGCTAGTGAGTGGCAAGAGGGAACCTCACACAGGCCAGGGGAGAGGCTGCCGGGCGGTGGCAGCAGGCAGCTCATGCTGCGGGAGGAGCCCAGGCCAGTGCCCAGGCCCCTCACTGGGCGCTGCGGTGAGCAGGAGGCGCTGGTGCTGTCAGCCCGGCGGCGGGGCGGGAGTCCAGCCTGCAATGCCACCTCCAGCCGCCGCTGCAGGAGGCGCCCCAGCTCCTGGCAGCGGACCCGACAGCGCCCCAACTCCCGCAGCGCCCAGGGACTCTGCACCGCCAGCCCACGCATCTCCTGGAAGGCGCTGTCCGAGATCTCGCCATGCTGCTGGCAGTACCAGCCCAGCGTCCCCAGCACCACCTCCGGCCCTGTGCCGTCCTCAATGGCCGACAGGCGCCGGACACCCTCCAGGGCCCAGTCCTGAGCCTACGAGAGAGCGGGAGAGACGGAGTCAAAGTGACGTAGGCCAGGGGGGGCAGGGAGCTGGCGCCGGGGTCAGAGTGATGCAGACCAGGGGGGGATGAGGAGTTAGGGCCGTGTGGCCAGGGGATACGGGGGCAATGGGGAGGCGACAGGGACGGGGCGACAGGGACGGGGATGAGGAGCCCTGCAATGGAAATGGGCAGGAATGACAAACGGACCCAGAAAATCACGCCCCCTCCAATGTTGACGCTGTGCTGGGGGCATCCACACCCGCCTCTGGCATGGATAGCAGGGCTGGGCTGCCTCTGATGTGGGGTCAGCTCCCCATGCCAGGAACACCCCCTGGGCTGAACTAAGCTGGATGCTAAAGGGGAAAGGAGGGATGGGGCAGGCACAGACAGACAGAGGGGGCACGCCTGAGCGGCTGGCACCTGCTGCAGGAAGCGGTGCAGCCGCAGGGCATTGTGCATGGTGTGCGCACAGCTCTCCAGCCGGCGCTCGAAGCTCTCCAGCTGCTGCCTCTCAGCTGCCAGGTCCCCGTCACCAACCAGACGCAGAGCCTCATGCCCCCGGGCCAGCCATTCCTGGGAGAGACAGGAGGAGACCAGGCAGTGCTGTCCTACCTACGCTCCAGACACCCGCCAGCACAGAGTGCCCCACGGAGCTGATACACCACGGACACAACCCCCGCCCACTCCCATATGGAGCACCCCATAGAACACATATCCCCCCAGTATAGAGCACCCCGCAGACCCAATGCACACCCCACAGCATAGAGCCAACGCTCTCCCACTCTCAGTATGGTGCATCCTGCAGAGTCAATGCACCCCCTCACCTCCATATGGAGCACCCCGCAGAGCCCATGTCCCCCCCCACTATAGAGCCCCCTACAGACCCAATGCACACCCCACAGCATAGAGCCAACGCCCATCCACCCTCAGTAAGACATTGCCTGCAGAGCAGATATCTCCTCAGTACAGAGCGCCCGGCAGAGACACCATTTCCCACCCCAATACAGGGAGCCCCACAGACACAAATACACACCCCACAGCATAGAGCAGGGGTCGGCAACCTTTCAGAAGTGCTGTGCCGAGTCTTCATTTATTCATTCTAATTTAAGGTTTCACATGCCAGTAATACATTTCAACGTTTTTAGAAGGTCTCTTTCTAGAAGTCTATAATATATAACTAAAATATTGTTGTATGTAAAGTAAATAAGGCTTTTAAAATGTTTAAGAAGCTTACTTTAAAATTAAATTAAAATGCAGAGCCCCCCGGACCGGTGGCCAGGACCCGGGCAGCGTGAGTGCCACTGAAAATCAGCTCACGTGCCGCCTTTGGCACGCGTGCCGTAAGTTGCCTACCCCTGGCATAGAGCAACAAGAGAGCCAATGCCCACCCACCCTCAGTATGTCACACCCTGCAGAGCTGATGTCCCCCAAATACGATGTGCCCCGCAGAGCCGACGCCTCCCCCCACCATCAGTACAGCGCACCCTGCAGATCCAACGCGCCCCACTACCCTCAGTATGGCGCGCCCCGCAGAGCCAACGTGCCCCCCCACCCTCAGTATGTCACACCCTGCAGACCCGATGTCCCCCAAATACGATGTGCCCCGCGGAGCCAACGCACACCCCCCACCACCAACAGTACAGCGCTCCCTGCAGATCCAACGCGCCCCACTACCCTCAGTATGGCGCGCCCTGCAGAGCCGCCGCACCCCCCCACCATCAGTACAGCGCGCCCCGCAGAGCCGACGCACCCCCCCACCATTAGTACAGCAAGCCCCGCAGAGCCAACACGCCCTCCCACCCTCAGTATGGTGCGCCCCTCCGAACTAATGTGCCCCCCCCCCCCCCCACCATCAGTACGAGACGCTCCGCAGAGTCAATGTGCCCCCACACCTCAGTATGGCGTGCCCCTCAGAGCCAATGTGCCCCACTGCCCTCAGTATGGAGCGCCCCGCAGAGCCAACACGCCCTCCCACCCTCAGTATGGTGCGCCCCTCAGAACTAATGTGCCCCCCCCCCCCCCCACCATCAGTACGAGACGCTCCGCAGAGTCAATGTGCCCCCACACCTCAGTATGGCGTGCCCCTCAGAGCCAATGTGCCCCACTGCCCTCAGTATGGAGCGCCCCGCAGAGCCGATGCAACTACACCGACCACCCCCCCCGCCCCGCTCGCTCAG